GTCCCGGTCGCGCACCGACGCACCGCTTCTCCGGCCATGCTGAGGCCGCGTCCCACATACAGCAACTAGAAGGATGTGCAGCTATGACATGCGACTATCTACTGGGGCTTTGGGGGGAAAATAAATAAATAAATAAAATCTTTAAAAAAAAAAAAAGATACAAGAAACACTAACCATCAAGGGAAAAAAATAATTCAGTTGGCTACATTAAAATTAAAAACATCTGTTTATCAAAAGATACCATAAAGAAAATAAAAGATGAAGCAGCAGCAGAGTAGGAAAAGATATTTGCAGCACATATAACTTTATGGGGGCCTAGAATCCTGAATGTATACAAAACTCCTACCTTGCAGAAAAGGGTTAACATAGCAGGCCTGAGACTACCTATCCTTAGAAAGGCCTGCTTTCAAGGTTGACCCTTAGTTGGAGTCTGGGAACATGGACAGGAAACAGTTCCCTACAAGGATATAAAAATTTCCCTAAATGATAAGAGTGGTTCACTGTGCCTAACCTGTTTGTACAGACATGTGGTTTATGCTGAATAAAAGCTCTCCTTCTGAGAGTCTGGAATTTTGGTATGTGCTAGGAAGAGAGATCCTATATGACGGGCCTCCAATAAAAACCTGGGGCAATGTGTCTCTAATGAATTGCTCTGACAGACTACACTTCCTACATGCTGTCACAACTCACTGCTGGAGGAATTAAGCACGTCCTGTGTGACTCCATTGGGAGAGGACTCCTGGAAGCTTCAATTGTTTCCTCCAGACTTTACCCCATGCACCTTTTCCCTTCACTGATTTTGTTTTCTAACCTTTCACTGTAATAAATCTTAGGTGTGAGTATAACTACATGCTAAGTCTTGTGAGTCCTTCTAGCAAATCACTGAATCTGGGGGTGGTCTTGAGGACCCCTGACACACCAACAAATTAATAATACAGACGTTTGTTAACGTGGGCCAAAAAACCAAAAAAGTCACTTCCTAAAAGAAGAAATCCAAATGGCCAAATAACAAGGAAAAGTGCTCAATATCATTTCTCATGAGGGAAATGAAAATTAAAACCACAATGAGATATCACTATATTTCCACTAATAGGCAAAAATTTTAAAGTCTGACGATACCAAGAGTTTGTGTAAATAAGTGCAGTGTAAAATAATACAGCCACTTTTGAACACAGTTTTGCATTATCTAGTAAAATTGAAGATCTGAATACTTTATGACCCAGCATTCCACTCCTGGGTATATGAGAGGCCTAAAGAAACTCATGCACAGGGAACCTGTTGATACATACAAGAGTTCCGACAGCAGCATTGTTGTTAATAGTCAAAAGCTGGAAACAATCCAAATGTCTATCAATTATTTAGAATGGCTAAATCAAGTTGGTAACTTAAAACTATACAAATGTCTCACAATAAGAGAATGAATAAATTTTGATACAGTCCATGGTATACAATAGGAAACTGTACAGTAAGAAACAACATGAATAAATCTCAGGAACATAATGTTGGACAAAACAGACCAAGAATACTTACATAATTTATTTAGAGTTCAAAAATAGGCAAACTTAAGTGTATTGCTTAGGAGAGCCTACATAGGTGGTGAAAAGTATAAAGAAACAAAGGGAGGGCCGGCTCCGTGGCTTAGCGGTTAAGTGCACGCGCTCTGATGCTGGCGGCCCGGGTTCGGATCCCGGGCGCGCCCCAGGGCACCGCTTCTCCGTCCAACGCGAGGCCGAGTCCCACGTGCAGCAACTAGAAGGATGTGAACCTATGACATACAGCTATCTGCTGGGGCTTTGGGGGGGAAAAAATGAATAAATAAAATCTTTAAAAAAAAAAAGAAACAAAGGGAAATGATTATCCTAAAAGTTTCTTCAATTATTTATCAAACTGTAGATATATAAAATGCATTTTTCTATATATATTAATGTATATTTCATATCCTAAAATTTAAAATGTAAACATTATGAATTAATATAATCAACAATTATGTTTATTGAACACCTAATAAATGCCAGAAAAAGTTAAAAAATGGTTCTTGTGGTTTAAAGGATCACAACCACCTGGGCAGATAATAATCAATCAGCAAACACTACAAGGCTTAATAGTGAAGACCTAAATTACACTATGAAATGCACTGGGAGTCCTGGGAAGATAACCGTGTTCTGATCTTCTGAGTTCAGTCAGGATAGAGACAAAACAAAACTTATGGCTGATGGACTTCTTACATAGGCTTAAGAAAGCCCAATAGCAAGGTCATTATCAGAGATCTAGTTTTTAAATAATATTGTTTATATTCTCCAACTGGTAGAAAAAAACTAAAAAACCCATAAAGATAGGCCATTGAAGATTTCTCAAACATGAGTTCAACAATAACAAGAGCAAATTTATCATTCTCTGTTGAAATTGTAGCCACCACTGAGTATTCAAACAGGTTTCAGGTCCTCCTTTTATGACTGACAAAATTGAAGCAATTATACTAGAACTCAGGTAATTTTTCCAAGAAAAAGGCAAGAAGGATGCGTAGCTAAGACATAATGAGGGAGAGAATGACAGGAAGTGAGATTTGAGACATAGACAGGAGCCAGATCATGTAAGGGCCTTGTAGGCTATGATGAAGACTGGACTTTATCTGAAGGGTGAACAGAAAGCCAATATAGGGTTGAGAACAGGGCAATAACATGATCAGACCTAAATTTTAGAAAAATATCTCAGGCCACAATGTACGGAATAGACTTTAGGGAAATAAAAATAGAAACAAGGAGATTAGAGTATTATAGTAGTTGAGCGTATATATATATCTGCACATACATTGATGGATTGGATGTGGGGTGTGAAAGAAAGAGAGGTACCAAGGATGACTGAAATTTTGTCCTGAGCCATGAGGTGAATGGTGGTTATCATTTACTAGATGGCAAACCCTGGGAGAGAAACAGATCGAGGAAATGAGGAAATCAAACAGTTTGGTTTAGACATGTTGAGTTTGAAATACATATTAGACATTCAAGTGAGGATAAACAGACAGTTATATATACAAGTCTGGAATTCATATAAATTTGAGAGACATCAGTACATAGACAGTATTTAAAGGCACGAGACTAGATAAGATCACCAAGAGAGAAATGTAGATAGAACAGTCACTTCAGAACTGAGTCTTGGGACATTCGTATTTAGAGGTTTGAAAGAGAAAGAGGATCCAACAGAAAACACTGAGAAGCAATTGCCAGTGAGGTAGGAAGAAACCAGGGTGCTCATCAATCCAGAAGCAAAAAAACAAAAAAGGAGAATGTGTATTAATCATGCCTTTTTATTTTCTGTATTTCTGATGCTTTGACATCTAGGGCCTTGCTGACTCTGGAGAGACT